ATGTGTTTGTAAAAATCCCACTTTAAAATTAGCTTTATCACCCACTCATGTTTTAAAATGCTTATCAGCTGTGTATGGAGAGGAGCAAATACTGTTCTGTAAGAGGTGATTGATGATAGAATTACAAGTGGAATAGTCATGATGATTAGCAGAAGCTGGAATGGAAGATGGATAAGAGAAAAGAAATTATATTGGAGAAGAAAGATACCATTACGAAAGAAAAAAACCATACTAACTGAAGGGAGAAAGAGGTTGACAAGAGGTTGCATAAAAACAATACTAAAATATAATCTACTGCTTTCAGTTCCTCTTTTCCCACTTCACTGTCCATACTTCTTTCTGATTTTCCATGTTTCTTTCCTTCCATCTGTCAGAGCAGAGCTTGATCTTTCATGTCTGTGGATTAATGTTGCTCTTGCTATTTCTAGCAGAAGAGAAAAAATACCACTAACCTTTATCCAACTTCCGGTAAGAGCAAGTAACATTGCCCCAGGCTCAATGCCAATTAGAACCCAGAGAATTCCTTTTCAACCACAGCGTGTGATGTTGTAACTCTTCAGCAGATACTATTGCATTTTAAAGCATTTGACAGATATTAAAGAGTTATTTTCTCCCAACATATTTCTTTCTTTCTTAGTACTTGTAAAACTGTTTAGACCAAGAATTTTCAATAATTATTCAGTCTTTATGACTATAGTATATGCAAGATCGCATATTACTCATTCTCTTCCCTTGTCTAGGTAGATGAGATATTTCAACTGGAGAAAAACAGTAATAAATAATTTTTATAGGCCTTTAGTTCTACTGTTAGGGAACAGGTGTGGACTTTGAGAAAAGTAATTATTTGATATTAATGTTCTTCAACTATTTGATGCCACCATCTGCCAGAATAATATTAATATTTTCCACAGTCATGGAACAACACTTCATGGAAACCATCAGTGTGCTAGCAGAATTGAGAGCAAAGGTTGAGTGTCGTTTGTCAAACTTGGGGGCTGTCAAGTCGCATGTGCTGAGCACCAGAGTCCCTGAGGTTGGTCTCTCCCTTTTTGGCTGGGGGGTCTTTGCAGTGCATTCTCAGCCTGTTCTGCACTGTGTGCCAGGATGTCTATCTAGGCTTAGAGAAGGGCCATGGCACTATGCTCAGAAACAGCTGAGAGTACAGGAAAAAGTCCTAGGGTAAACAGAGATAAAACAGGCATGACAGTGCTACCTGCACCGAAGGCTTCTGTACAGCTGCCTTCATCATCACTGTCTT